GTTTGCGTGTCTCTCTCCCAGTTTGGCCCCTCCACATTTAGAATCAACAACACGCGTTTAGAGTATTTGGCTGCTATAAATGTTCACACGATTAGCCACTTCGTTGGGGTTATCATTTGTGGCCAGGTCGCTTTCCCGGGTAAAAACGCGAAATAAAAATGGTGTTCACTATCTTCCTCGCCCATCATAATCTCCCATCACCATCATCTCTCTTCATCACCATCATCATCTCTCACCATCATCATCATAATCATCATCTCTCTCCAACACCACATCATCTCTCATCACCATCATCATCTCTCTCCATCACCATTATCATCTCTCTTCATCACCATCATTAACTCTCTCCATCATCATCATCGGCTCTCTCAATCACCATAATCATCATCTCTCTCCATCATCATCTCTCCATATGTCCATCACCACCATCATCTCTCTCCATCACCATCATCTCTCTCTCCATCATCATCATCTCTCTCTCCATCACCACCATCATCTCTGTCCATCATCATCTCTCTCTATCACCACCATCATCTCTCTCCATCATCATCTCTCTCCATCACCACCATCATCTCTCTCCATCACCACCATCATCATCTCTCTCCGTCATCACCATCATCTCTCTCCATCACCACCATCATCTCTCTCCATCATCATCTCTCTCCATCACCACCATCATCTCTCTCCATCACCACCATCATCATCTCTCTCCATCATCACCATCATCTCTCTCCATCACCACCATCATCCCTCTCCATGATCACCACCATTCTCTCCATCATTACCACCATCATCTCTCTCCATCACCATCATCTCTCCATCACCACCATCATCTCTCTCCATCACCACCATCATCATCTCTCTCCATCACCATCATCGTCTCTCTCCATCATCATCATCACCATCATCTCTTTCCATCACCACCATCATCATCTCTCTCCATCACCATCATCTCTCCATCATCACCATCATCATCTCTCTCCATCATCATCTCTCTCCATCACCACCATCATCTCTCTCCATCACCATCATCATCTCTCTCCATCACCATCCTCTCTCTCCACCGTCATCACCTTGAGGTTATCTGTTTCTTTTGAATAGGCCGGAACCCTTCGCGCGCCGAGCTCACGCGCCGCGCGTTTCCGCCCGGACCCGGGACCGCGCGAGGGCGCCAAAATTCGTTCCGACTCCAGCGTGAGTACAGTAGTCTACACTGTAGTGATTACTGTACTCTATATACTGTAGTGATTACTCTATATATAATGTAGTGATTACTCTAGACTGTAGTGATTACTCTAGACTGTAGTGATTACTCTATAGACTGTAGTGATTACTCTATATACTGTAGTGATTACTCTAGACTGTAGTGATTACTCTATATACTGTAGTGATTACTCTGCACTGTAGTGAGTACTCTATATACTGTAGTGATTACTCTATATACTGTAGTGATTACAGTATATAGAGTAATTTCTACAGTCTAGAGCAATCACTACAGTCTAGAGTAATCACCACAGTATAGAGTAATCACCACAGTCTAGAGTAATCATTACAGTCTAGAGTAATCACTACAGTCTAGAGTAATCACCACAGTCTAGACTACTCAGTACAGTCTATAGAGTAATACACTGTAGTGATCACTCTATATACTGTACTCTATTTACTGTAGTGATTTCTCTAGACTGTAGTGATTACTCTAGACTGTGGTGATTACTCTAGACTGTAGTGAGTACTCTAGACTGTGGTGATTACTCTAGACTGTGGTGATTACTCTATATACTGTAGTGATTACTCTAGACTGTAGTGATTACTATAGCCTGTTGTGATTACTCTAGACTGTAATGATTACTCTGGACTGTACTGAGTAGTCTAGACTGTAGTGATTACTCTAGACTGGTGAGTAGTCTAGACTGTGGTGATTACTCTAGACTGTAGTGACTACTCTAGACTGTAGTGAGTACTCTAGACTGTAGTGAGTACTCTAGACTGTGGTGATTACTCTACATACTGTAGTGATTACTCTAGACTGTAGTGATTACTCTAGACTGTGGTGATTACTCTAGACTGTAGCGAGTACTCTAGACTGTAGTGATTACTATAGACTGTAGTGAGTACTCTAGACTGCGGTGATTACTCTAGACTGTAGTGATTACTATAGACTGTAATGATTACTCTAGACTGTAGTGATTACTCTAGACTGTGGTGATTACTCTAGACTGTCGTGATTACTCTAGACTGTGGTGATTACTCTAGACTGTAGTGATTACTCTAGACTGTGGTGATTACTCTAGACTGGTGATTACTCTATATACTGTGGTGATTACTCTAGACTGTAGTGAGTACTCTAGACTGTAGTGATTACTCTAGACTGTGGTGATCACTCTAGACTGTGGTGATTACTCTAGACTGTGGTGATTACTCTAGACTGTGGTGAGTACTCTAGATTGTGGTGATTACTCTATATACTGTGGTGATTACTCTAGACTGTATTGATTACTATAGACTGTGGTGATTACTCTAGACTGTGGTAATTACTATAGACTGCGGTGATTACTCTAGACTGTAGTGGTTACTCTAGACTGTGGTGATAACTCTAGACTGTAGTGATTACTCTAGACTGTGGGGATTACTCTATATACTGTAGTGATTGCTGTAGACTGTAATGATTACTCTAGACTGTGGTGATTACTCTATACTGTGGGGATTACTCTATATACTGTAGTGATTACTGTAGACTGTAGTGATTACTCTAGACTGTAGTGATTGCTCTAGACTGTGGTGATTACTCTAGACTGTAGTGATTACTATATATACTGTAGTGAGTACTCTAGACTGTAGTGATTACTCTAGACTGTGGTGATCACTCTAGACTGTGGTGATTACTCTAGACTGTGGTGATTACTCTAGACTGTGGTGAGTACTCTAGATTGTGGTGATTACTCTATATACTGTGGTGATTACTCTAGACTGTATTGATTACTATAGACTGTGGTGATTACTCTAGACTGTGGTAATTACTATAGACTGTGGTGATTACTCTAGACTGTAGTGGTTACTCTAGACTGTGGTGATAACTCTAGACTGTAGTGATTACTCTAGACTGTGGGGATTACTCTATATACTGTAGTGATTGCTGTAGACTGTAATGATTACTCTAGACTGTGGTGATTACTCTAGACTGTGGGGATTACTCTATATACTGTAGTGATTACTGTAGACTGTAGTGATTACTCTAGACTGTAGTGATTGCTCTAGACTGTGGTGATTACTCTAGACTGTAGTGATTACTCTATATACTGTAGTGATTACTCTAGACTGTAGTGATTACTCTAGACTGTGGTGATTACTCTATACACTGTAGTGAGTACTCTCGACTGTAGTGATTACTCTAGACTGTAGTGAGTACTCTAGACTGTGGTGATTACTCTAGACTGTAGTGAGTACTCTAGACTGTAGTGATTACTCTATATACTGTAGTGATTACTATAGACTGTAGTGATTACTCTAGCCTGTGGTGACTACTCTAGACTGTGGTGATTACTCTAGACTGTAGTGATTACTCTAGACTGTACTGAGTAGTCTAGACTGTAGTGATTACTCTAGACTGTACTGAGTAGTCTAGACTGTGGTGATTACTCTAGACTGTACTGAGTAGTCTATACTGTAGTGATTACTCTAGACTGTAGTGATTACTCTAGACTGTAGTGATTGCTCTAGATTGTAGAGATTACTCTAGACTGTAGTGATTACTCTGTATACTGTAGTGATTACTCTAGACTGTGGTGACTACTCTAGACTGTAGTGAGTACTCTAGACTATAGTGAGTACTCTAGACTGTGGTGATTACTCTACATACTGTCGTGATTACTTTAGACTGTAGTGATTACTCTAGACTGTAGTGAGTACTCTAGACTGTGGTGAGTACTCTAGACTGGTGATTACTCTAGACTGTAGTGAGTACTCTAGACTGTCGTGATTACTCTAGACTGTGGTAATCACTCTAGACTGTGGTGATTACTCTATATACTGTGGTGATTACTCTAGACTGTAGTGATTACTCTAGACTCTGGTGATTACTCTATATACTGTGGTGAGTACTCTAGACTGTGGTGATTACTCTAGACTGTCGTGATTACTCTATAAACTGTAGCGATTACTCTAGACTGTAGTGATTACTCTAGCCTGTAGTGATTACTCTAGACTGTAGTGATTACTCTGGACTGTACTGAGTAGTCTAGACTGTAGTGATTACTCTAGACTGGTGATTACTCTAGACTGTGGTGATTACTATAGACTGTAATTATTACTTTATATACTGTAGTGATTACTCTAGACTGTAGTGAGTACTCTAGACTATGGTGATTACTCTAGACTGTGGTGATTACTCTAGACTGTACTGAGTAGTCTATACTGTAGTGATTACTCTAGACTGTAGTGATTACTCTAGACTGTAGTGATTGCTCTAGACTGTAGAGATTACTCTAGACTGTAGTGATTACTCTATATACTGTAGTGATTACTCTAGACTGTGGTGACTACTCTAGACTGTAGTGATTACTCTATATACTGTAGTGATTACTCTAGACTGTAGTGATTACTCTGGACTGTGGTGAGTAGTCTAGACTGTGGCGATTACTCTAGACTGTGGTGACTACTCTAGACTGTAGTGAGTACTCTAGACTGTGGTGATTACTCTACATACTGTAGTGATTACTCTAGACTGTAGTGATTACTCTAGACTGTGGTGAGTACTCTAGACTGGTGATTACTCTAGACTGTAGTGAGTACTCTAGACTGTCGTGATTACTCTAGACTGTGGTGATCACTCTAGACTGTGGTGATTACTCTATATACTGTGGTGATTACTCTAGACTGTGGTGATTACTCTAGATTGTGGTGATTACTGTATATACTGTGGTGATTACTTTAGACTGTAGTGAGTAGTCTATACTGTAGTGATTACGCTAGACTGTAGAGATTACTCTAGACTGTAGTGATTACTCTATATACTGTAGTGATTTCTCTAGACTGTGGTGACTACTCTAGACTGTAGTGATTACTCTATATACTGTAGTGATTACTCTAGACTGTAGTGATTACTCTAGACTGTGGTGAGTAGTCTAGACTGTGGTGATTACTCTAGACTGTGGTGACTACTCTAGACTGTAGTGAGTACTCTAGACTGTAGTGAGTACTCTAGACTGTGGTGATTACTCTACATACTGTAGTGATTACTCTAGACTGTAGTGATTACTCTAGACTGTGGTGATTACTCTAGACTGTGGTGAGTACTCTAGACTGTAGTGAGTACTCTAGACTGTCGTGATTACTCTAGACTGTGGTGATCACTCTAGACTGTAGTGATTACTCTATATACTGTAGTTATTACTCTAGACTGTAGTGATTACTCTAGACTGTGGTGAGTAGTCTAGACTGTAGTGATTACTCTAGACTGTAGTGAGTATTCTATAGCATTTAATGATGATTTGAAGCTTTCTTGACTGCAGGAATCCACACTCTTTGTTCTTTCGGTAAAGTCACGTCGGTAGAAAAGAAAATAAAGTTCGACGTTTCGGGCGCAACACAAGCGTCCTTCATCAAGTGGAAAATCTTGGCCTGCTGTTGAGGCAGACTGTTTTAAAAGGTTTTAAATCGGTGTAGCCTAAGGGCACGGAGTGACTAATGAGGTCTGAATTGGTCTGTAATAAGGTAGGGCACTGATAAGGGGTTGACGGGTTTGGCATCGCCACCACGTAACTTGGTCTCAATAGGCCATCTATTACTTATTACCATAATATAATGATTATTTTAATTCACGCCATTTCGGACATGGGGAATGTTGAATGATTCTTCACCAGACTTAACTACCTCGCCTGGTATACGGGAGATCGTGGTTTCGATCCTGACCCTGACTCCTGCTGTATATTTGGAGTTTGCGTGTCTCTCTCTCTCATCATCATCATCACGGTGGCTAGGAGATGTTAACTACCTCGCATGGTATACAGGAGATTGTGGGTTCGATGCCGACCCTGACTCCTGCTGTATATTTAGAGTTTGCGTGTCTCTCTCTCATCATCATCACCATCACGGTGGCTAGGACATGTTAACTACCTCGCCTGGTATACTGGAGATTGTGGGTTCGATGCCGACCCTGACTCCTGCTGTATATTTGGAGTTTGCGTGTCTCTCTCCCCGTGGTCGCGTGGATTTTTCTCCGGGTCTTCCAGGTTTTCCCTCCACATTTAGAATCAACAACGTGCCTTAGGACTGTCTGGCTGCTTGACATGTCCACGTGATAATCCATTTCGTTTGTGGCCAAGTCACTTTTGAAAAAAGTGGGCCTTACCTGGTTAACTACAAATAGTTTACTTAATCATCATCGTCATCGCGATCTGTGGGCAGTTATCCCGTAGGTGTCCAGTGTACATTTCGTCATTTGTTTTCGCTTTCCTCTGTCTTGTGCCACTATGATCAAGCAGTGGCCACATCTTTCTGGCACCAATCTCTCATGTCATCGTCAAGCCACTCTCTGTGAGGTCTCCCTTGCTGTTGTCCTCGCGATGCATGCGTCCAAATAGTGCCAGCTTCCTTATCTTTACGCTGGTCACTCTTTGAGGACCAGCTTAGCTGCGGCATCCTTCCTGCAGCAATACGTTTCGAGTGTGTCGGTATCAGCTTTAGTTTACATTGATTCCTGCTTTGAACCCTGCCAGAAGCTCACTCGTCTACACCAACCTACCACGGCCCCCCCCCCCGCAGGGAATTCCTCCTCCTCCTCCTCCACCGCTGGGGCCATGGAGGCCGAGCGGCTGGAGCAGCTGGGCCGGGCCATGGAGGCCTACGCCCTGGAGCACCACGGCGCCGACCTGCTGCGCGTGCTGCGCGCCCCCGCCGGCGCCGCGCGGCACTACCCCGTGCTGCTCGACGCCATGGCCCTCCTGGAGAGCGACATGGCGCTGGGCGAGAGCGTGCTGGCGCTGCCCTCGCTGCTGCTGCCCGCGTGCGACGAGGCGCTGGCGCGCGCGCAGGCGGCGCTGCTCGCGCGCCGGGCGGGGGTCGACGACGGCGGCGGCGGCGGCGGCGCCGCCGCGCTGTCCGTCAAGCCCAACGTGCACGCGAGGTTCACCGGTACGCCGTGGCGGTGGCCGTGGTGTAGCGGTGTAGCGGTTGTCGCGCTGCGCTATGAACCCGGCGACCCGGGTTCGGGTCCCGCTCACGGCCAACACCGGTGACGATTATCTGAACCGGTCCCGGGCCTCCCCTAGGTCGACTCAGCCATACATGAGTACCTGGTTGCGGTGTGTAAACATCGCCACGGGGGAGACAAAGGCGGCCGGGCGTGGTGCTCGCCACCCACCCCCTCGTGCACCGTGCCGGCCTTCGTAGGTGCTACTCGCTAACAGCACTTGCCCCTACAGTCTGTTAAAGTCGATACGGGGGCATCTTTGTCTTTGCTGGTCGTGTTGGTGAACAGGGAGATGGGGGGGGGGTGGGAGGGGGTTATTTATCGAACTCGCACATTGTTTCAGCCACCGCGCACGGGGAAATAGAATCGAACCGGCAATCTCCGCGTCCGCAGGTCCGGTGCGGACAACCTGACCGCCGCCGCCCCTGATCATCATGATCGCGGTTTCCTCGGCCACAGGTCTCCCGCAGTGCCCCGAGCTGAGCCGCGAGCGCCTGCCGCTGGCGTCGGACGCGGGCCGCCTGCTGCGCGTCTCGGGCACCGTGATCCGCACCGGCGCCACCCGGCTGCTGGAGCACGAGCGGACCTTCGCGTGCCTCGCCTGCGGCCGGCGATTCCCGGTGCGCGCCGAGCTCGAGACCTTCCACGGCCTGTCGGCCCCCGCCGCCTGCCCCGCCGCGCCCGCCTGCCGCTCCACCAGGTTCACCGGCGTCGGCGGAGAAGGGGGCCAGCCGGGCGTCTGCCGCGACTACCAGGAGGTCAAGATACAGGAGCAGGTTTGCGTTGGTGTCCACGCCTTGCCGCCGCGCTCGGCGCCGGGAGGGCGGTCCCACCGTGGACCGGGTGGCTCAGATGGCAGAGACGTCGAGGGTCTGGGTTCCATTCCGGGTGTTCGTTTGCCCGTGGCTGAATTGCGGGTTGCGAGCGGAGTGGGTTGATGCTGTCGGCCCGGTCGCCAATGACTTGCGTAGAGATCCGCAGACTCGCATGGAGACCTATAGACCCGTTTAGAAACCCACAGACGTACAGAGTGAGCCATATATAGGTTCGTGTAGAAACCCACAAGGTTAAAGTGATCCATAAACCCATAGGCTTATATAGAAACCCTGGTCATCGTTGCAGCGGCTTTTGGTTAACCATCGGACGAAGACGGTCGCTGCATCGTGCGCTTTAAGTTGCACTTCTGCGGCCGTCTGGAACGCTCTTCTGATATTAGGAAACGACTGGAGCTATGCACTTTTAAATAGAAAACGAATTTATTTAGAACAGTTTTTTTGTGTTCAGTTTGTTGTCCTTCCCCCCGCACCTCCGATTAGCACGGTTGGCGAAGTACGGTGCGAAAGAAGTTAAACGCACACGCACCCGCATACATACATAGACTCGCGCAGCAGCTAAGAGACTCGCACAGAGATCCATAGACTGGAAGAGAAGTGGGTCAGCCCGGTGTCTGCCGGGACTGCCAGGAGATTTAAGATGCAAGATAATTGATATTTGTAAAGATTTAATCACCTGTGGCGATTTGAATCTTGGTGGTGCAAGGTAAGCGTACAGCCTGGTCACCAATTACCACAACACATTTGTTCTGCTATGAATTTTTGCAAAAATTCTGAGAATTTAAAATGTCGCTTTGACTGTCACACGGACGAGCATTACTTTCACGTGGCAGGGTGGGTGAGAAGGACGCTGTGTGTGCACCAGAGGTCACTGAAGAAGGGGCTCTCAAAGGTAGCTCTGTGATACCCGCTTCCATGGGCCGTCCCCTAACACGGAGGGCCGATGCGCCGCTCGGCAAGATTTGCCGCGTGGAATCTTCGCCTTGCGAAGACACGACGCTCGATAGCTCGATCGGGATAAACTCGGGGAAAAGGCACAATTCCTCACGTGAGTTGTACGGGGGGGGGGGGGGTGGGGCGGGGGGGGGTCCCGCTGGGTGGTGAGAGCTGCACGACACAGCGGAGTTTTCGGTTGTCATAGGCGACCGTGGGACCGCCTGACATGCGCTCAGCAGAGTGCAGGAAAACCACTTAGTGCTGTGCCCTGCACGCTCCCCGCCTTCGCCAACCCGTGCTGACCGCCGTGGCGAGGAACGGAGAAACCGACCCCCACGACCCGCACGGCGTGGGGGAGGTCATCGTCCGCCGGTGGATTGAGACGGGTGGGCGAGCGAGCGGGTGGTGTGTGCGGGGTGACACGGGGTGAATGTGTCTCACCGTGCGACGCGCAGGTCCAGAAGCTGGCCATGGGCACCATCCCCCGCTCCATGGTGGTGGTGCTGGAGGATGATTTGGTGGACACCTGTAAATCCGGTAGGGTAGAGCGTGGCAGCCCATTCACTCGTTGGTTAAATAGTTCATTAATTCATTCGTCGTCGTCGTCAGCGTCGTCCCTAACCCATCGATTGCTGTAAGAATGCATCCCTAAACCGTCGCCATCACTCAGGGACCTGTGGTGGAACGCTCCGTCTAGCTCCTGTCTGTCCCAGATGGCGTGCGTGCGTGCGTGCGCGTGACCCAGCCATCTCGGTCAACCAGTAACACCTTCATAGACGCCGCTCGCGAACGGCACCGGGGCCTCAAAAGTCTCGTCAAGGCTGCAAGGGGGGCATCTCTGTCTTTGCGCGACGCAGGGGACGACGTGACGGTGTGCGGCGTGGTGACCCAGCGCTGGCGCCCGCTGGTCCCCGGCTCCCGCTGCGACCTGGAGCTGGTGCTGCGAGCGAACCACCTGGAGGTGGCAAACGATGGCACGGGGCTCGGGGTGGAGCTGGGCGAGGAGGAGCGCCGCGCGGTGCAGGAATTCTGGGAGGGGTTCGCCCACAACCCGCTGGCAGGTGGGGGAGTCGCGGGGCGGAGAGGCGCCCTGAGGCTCCGCTGTGGCCGGCGGCGTCGTCGTCGGTGTCGTCTTTTGTCATCGTCGAGGCATCGGCGTTGAGTCGTCGTCATCGTGATGAGCGTTGTCATGATTGAGCCATCATCGTCATCATCATTATTGAGTAATCATCATTATTGAGTCATCATTATTGAATCATCATCATCATCGTCATTGAGTCATTGAGTCATCATCATTATTGAGTAATCATCATCATTATTGAGTCATCATTATTGAATAATCGTCATCATCATCATTGAGCCATCATCGTCATCATCGTCATCATCGTCATCATCATTGAGTGATCATCATCATTATTGAGTCATCATCATTATTGAGTCATCATCATTATTGAGTCGTCGGCACAATCATCTTCATTGTTTTTCATCATTGATCCATCATCATCATTATTGATCCTTCATCATCATGATCAATTATCATCATTATCATCAGCGGTATGAACAATGATATCACCGTGTGCCAGGCGGATTTGCGAGATTTCAGCCGGGATGATGTAATCCTTGTCAGGAATCATCGGGATGGTATACCCTTAATTTACCTTTGTGCGTGTGTGTGTGCGTGCGTGTGCGCGTGTGTGTGCGCGTGTGTGCGTGTGTGCGTGTACGCGTATGTGCGCGTGCTTGTGCGCGTGTGTGTGTGTGCGTGTGCGCGTGCGCGCGTGCGCGCGTGCGTGCGTGCGCGTGTGCGTGTGCGCGTGTGTGTGTGTGTGTGTGCGCGTGTGTGTGTGCGTATGTGTGTGTGTGCGTGTGTGCGCGTGCGCAGGTAGAAATGTGATCCTGGCCAGCCTGTGCCCGCAGGTGTTCGGCATGTACGTGGTGAAACTGGCGGTCGCCCTGGTGCTCGCCGGCGGGGTCGCACGCGTTGACCCGTCGGGCACTCGCGTGAGAGGTGAGGACGCCTGAGCGCCACTCCCCGTTTAGACCAGGGGGGCTTGGCAACCGAAATAACAAGAAGAGACAATTCTTGTCGATTTCGCGAAAACAAATCCTGAATGTTTCAAGAGGCGCAACGTTCTGCGTGGTGAATAAGAGACGGTGGTGGTGGTGGTGGTGGCGGCGGCAGCCGCTCCTTAATAACGGACGTCCCTTAAAGACCCACGCAGCATGCCACTCCGGAGCTGCGCTGTAATGTACATTGTACATTTTTATTACATTGTACATTATATTGTACTTTACATTGTACATTACTTTGTACAGAACATTTCTCGTCTATTTGATATTTCGGCGTGCAATTCACGCGCTTGGCCCTGATGGCATCTTATCTGATTGTCGCAAAACGTCGTCGCCCCTCGTCACGCTTGAATCCAATTTGGCGACATTCTCGCCCCACAGGTGAGCCCCACCTGCTGCTCGTGGGAGACCCCGGCACCGGCAAATCGCAGCTGCTGAAGTACGCGGCCAAGATCACGCCGCGCTCCGTGCTCACCACCGGCATCGGCTCCACCAGCGCCGGTGCGGACTCCGCTCCCCACCGGCCCCTCGCTTCCCCACCGCTCGCGGTCGACGGCAAAGGGATGACCCCTGACCCCGACCGTCTGCTCGGCCAATGCCAGCCACTGGCGTTTGTTGCAGACCGGGGGTCGACTCCCGACCCTGACCCTGCTGCTGTATATTTGGAGTTTGTGCGTCTCTCTCATCATCATCATCATCACGGTGGCTAGGAGATGTTAACTACCTCGCCTGGTATACAGGAGGTCGGGGCTTCGATCCCGACCCTAAAGCCTGACTATATTTGGAGTTTGCGCGTCTCATCATCATCATCACGGTGGCTAGGAGATGTTAACTCCGGGTCCTCCGGTCTTTTCCCTCCACATGCAGTATCAGCGTCACGCGTTTCGAGTATTTGGCTGCTATAAATGTACACATGGTGATGAGTCACTTGGTTTCGCTATCATTTCTGGCCAGGTTGCTCCTGAAAAATAGCTGCATAGAGCTCAGTGCGCCAACAGCACTTGCCCCGACAGTCTTGTGAGGCTACGCGGGGGATCTTTGTCATTGGCGGTTGTGGGTGCGGGCCCAGGTTTGACGGTGGCGGCCGTGCGCGACGGTGGCGACTGGGGCCTCGAGGCCGGCGCTCTGGTGCTGGCCGACGGGGGCCTCTGCTGCATCGACGAGTTCAGCAGCATCCGCGAGCACGACCGGGCCAGCGTGCACGAGGCGATGGAGCAGCAAAGCATCAGCGTCGCCAAGGCCGGGTCAGAGGACACACGCGGAGACGTCGCGCGGAGATGTCCACGGACGCGCGGGGATGTGTACAGGGGGATACGCGAGACATGCAACACACGTAGATATGGTAGACGCGGGGATATGGGAGGTACGGGAGATATGGGGATACGGGAGACATGCGGCTAAGCAAGACATGGAACACACATATATATGGTAGACATGGGGGATACGGGAGATACGGGAGACACGGGAGACACGGGATATGGGAGACACGGGGATACGGGAGACATGGGAGACATGAACGAGACACGAGGACACGGGGCACACGCTGTGTACATGGGGCACATGGAACACGGTGGCTGAACCGTGGACCGTGCCCGATAACGGCGACGATGAAGCTAACGGTGGTGAAGCTCATCGGGGATGGTGGCGATGGCGTCGATGCCGACGTTGAGAACGACGGCGACGCGGACGACGATAACACCGTGACGATGGCGCCCCCCGCCCCCCCCGCCCCCCCCGCCCCCCCGCCCCCCGCCAGGCTGGTTTGCAAGCTGAGCACGCGCACCACGGTGCTGGCGGCGACCAACCCCAAGGGCCGCGTGGAGGCCGGCGAGCCGCTGAGCTCGAGCGTGGCGCTGGCCAGCCCGCTGCTCAGCCGCTTCGACCTCGTGCTCGTGCTGCTGGACGCGCGCAACGAGGACTGGGACCGTATCGTCTCCTCCTTCATCCTGCAGAACCGCGGTAGCCCCGGGGGAGCGTCGCCGGCGCTGCCCGCGATGGCGCGGGAGGTTTCCCCGCAGGCCCGGAGGTTCCGGGAGGGTCATCGGAGGCCGTGAGGTTTCCGGAGATTTCCAGAGGCCCGGAAGTAACCCGTTGCGGGGCCCCCTCATTTATTGTGCGTGGCACGGGGGGGGGGGGCGGGTGGGCGAGGGGCAACTTGCACTCCGCTTGGGACGCCCGCGGCACTGTTACTCATACGACGTGTGAAACGACGATGATAACGACGTTGACGATGACGGTGATGATGACGGACAGAACGGTGATGAACGTGGTGATGGGAATAATGGCAGTCATCACGGACGAGAGATGATGGTAACGGCGAGGAACTTGGCAACGGTGGTTATTATAATGCAGATCGAATGAGATATTGACGACGGCGGTGACGGCAATGATGATCGTGGTAACGCCCCCCCCCCCCCCCCCCCCCCTCAACGTAGGCGCCCCCCCGTGCGACGCAGAGGGCATATGGCCAATGGAGCGCATGCGCTGCTACTTCCGGCTGGCGCGCTCCCTCGAGCCGCAGCTTTCGGACGATGCGAACCGCGTGCTGGCGGCGTACTACCGGCTGCAGCGCGCCAGCGACACGCGCAGCGCCGCACGCACCACCGTGCGGCTGCTCGAAAGCCTCGTGCGTCTCGCCGAGGGTGAGCCCCCCCCGCCCCCCCCCGCCCCCCCCCCGCCCCCCCCCCCCCCCCGCGGTGGCTGTGAGATGTTTACTACCTCGCCTGGTGTGCAGGAGGTCGTGGGTTCGATCCCGACACTGACGCCTGAGTTTGCGTGTGTCTCTCTCTCTCTCTCTCTCCCCGCGGTCGTGTGGATTTTTCTCAGGGTTCTCCGGTTTTTTGCTCCAGAATCATCGTCACGCATTGAGAGTACTTGTCTGCTGCTACAAGTGTCCACGTGATAAGCCACTTCGTCGAGCCTATCATTTGTGGCCAGGTCGCTTCTGAAGAAAGGGCTGTAGAGCTCGCTGGGCCTTGCCTGTTAAAGTAAAAATAGTTTTAGTTTAAACTCGTCCTGTGGTCTCAAACGGTGCCGATCCCTAAACCCATCCCGCCGTTTAACCCGTGCCATGCGTATCGGCCGTGCCCGTTGCATTGTTGTTAAGACGACGTAGTAATTGTCGTCGCGACGACTCGCTCATCATTGTCACGACGGCATGGCGCGATCATCACCATGGTTACGATGACCTGCCCCCCTGCCCCGCGCCCCCCCCCCCCATACTTCCATCTCGCGCAGCGCACGCGCGGCTCATGCTGCGCGGCGTGGTGACGGTGGAAGACGCGGTGACGGTGGTGTCGGTCATGGAGACGTCCATGCAGGGCGGCGCGCTCACGGGCGGCGCCGGGGTGAACGCGCTGCACACTTGCTTCCCCGACGACCCCGTGCAGCAGTACCAGGCGCAGTGCGACGTGCTGCTCGCCCGACTCGGCCTGCACGACCTGCTGCGGGGGGAGACCGAGCGGCTGCACCGGTACGGGCGCGCCCGTCGTCGCCGTCGCGGTCGTCGCCGTCGTCGCTGTAGTCGTCGTCAATGTTGTCACCATCGTCGTCGTCATGGTTGTCGTCGTCAATGTTGTCACCATCGTCGTCGTTGTTGTCGTCGTCGTCAATGTTGTCACCATCATCATCATCGTCATGGTTGTCGTCGTCAATGTTGTCACCATCGTCGTCGTCGGTGTTGTCGTCGTCAGTGTTGTCACCATCGTCGTCGTTGTTGTCGTCGTCGTCAATGTTGTCACCATCATCATCATCGTCATGGTTGTCGTCGTCAATGTTGTCACCATCGTCGTCGTCGGTGTTGTCGTCGTCAGTGTTGTCACCATCGTCGTCGTTGTTGTCGTCGTCGTCAATGTTGTCACCATCATCATCATCGTCATGGTTGTCGTCGTCAGTGTTGTCACCATCGTCGTCGTCATCGTTGTCGTCGTCAATGTTGTCACCATCGTCGTCGTTGTCGTCGTCAATGTTGTCATCATCATCATCATGGTTGTCGTCGTCAGTGTTGTCACCATCATCATCGTCATGGTTGTCGTCGTCAATGTTGTCACCATCGTCATGGTTGTCGTCGTCAGTGTTGTCACCATCATCATCGTCATGGTTGTCGTCGTCAATGTTGTCACCATCGTCATGGTTGTCGTCGTCAGTGTTGTCACCATCATCATCGTCATGGTTGTCGTCGTCAATGTTGTCACCATTGTCGTCGTTGTCGTCGTCAATGTTGTCATCATCGTCATGGTTGTCATCGTCAGTGTTGTCACCATCGTCGTCGTCGTTGTCGTCGTTGTCGTCGTCAATGTTGTCACCATCGTCATCGTTGTTGTCAATGTAATCATCATCATCGTTGTCAATGTAATCATCATCATCGTCATGGTTGCCGTCGTCAATGTAGTCATGAACATCATCTTTGTCGTCAGCATCATCATTGTTGTCGTCTGTGTAATCATCATCGTCATCAATGATGGATGCCGTCGTCAATGTAGTCATTGTCGTCGTCGTCGTCATCATCATCGTTGTTGTCGTCACTGTAGTGACCGGCATCGTCGGCGTCGTTATCGTCCAGGATGTTGATGTTGATGTTGTTGTTGTTGTGCGATGCCAAGCTCACCGTAGCCGTCTCGGAAACCTTTCACTCTTATTTTATTGACCGATTACACATTTTAATCGGAAATAACATTGTAAAACCCCAAATGTAAACATTGCAAAGTGTTTGGCGGTTTGCGCACCGGCGCGCGAGCCTTGCTCGTGGTCAAACCTAAGCAGCAGCCTCGGCCACGGGGCCTCTGCCGGCCTCGACACCGGCCCTCTGTCCAAGGGCCTGCCAGCCTAGGCCGCACGCCTTCTTGGCCTCGAATCCAAACCGGCATCTGCATCTCCTCTGCTCCCGTGTCCCCAGCCTCAAGAGCTCGCAGGGCGGGGGGGGGGACGGAGAGGAGGCTTCTCCGTCAGCCGCGGACGACGGAGCGCCAGCCGCCGGGGACTCGTCCGCCTCCCCGCCGGACGGCATCCCTCCGACCCCCGACCCCCGCGGATGGCCCCTGACCTCCACCCCCTTGGAGGGTCTCGACCCGCCGGCCCCCGCCTCGCCCGCGGCGGCGCCCGCCCCTTGCGAGCGCGAGGCCGAGACGCCGAGACCTCCGAGCTCGCGGGCGGGCGGCGGGCGCGGGGGCGGGGGGCGGGCGGCGAAGGCCGGAGGGGCCGGCGGCGGGCGCGCCGGCGCCGTGGGCGACGCGGGGACGTCGGGGGAGGCGCCCGGCAGGTTGGCGCGCTTCGCCTTCCTGAGCAAGCCGCGGCTCAGCCGCTCGCCGGCGAAGGGCGGAGACGGGCGGAGCGACGGCGACGATGGACGGGACGAGACGCGGGGGCACGCCGGGGCGCGTGCGAGTCGCGAGACCGGTCAGTATGAACGCGGCGAGGATCACGGGCACGCCGCCGCCGGTCGGCTTGGACCTAATCTACCTGGTGGACAGGGACACGGTGATGCTGATAGACACAATAACGCTGATAGACGCGACGAGGGTGACACGCGCAACAAGCCTCGCGTACACGGGCACGGCAAGCCTGCTGCTGCTGCTGCTGATGATCGCACAGCGGCCCGAGGACATAGACAATCCAGCGGACGAGGACCCGGCGACGCTCACGAGAGCGCGAGCGACTGGGACGCCTCCGTGGCGGACTTGTCGTCGTCGTCGCCGCTCCACCACCCGTCGGCCCTCTCCTCCGGTACCATCCGGAGCGGCGAGCCTCGAAAATTGGTGGCACCACCGGAGGGGTCACCGCCTCTAACCGGGGCCCCTCCCAGTCGCGGCGCGAAGCGCCTGCGAGGGCCCAGCGATGATCGGGGACTCGGGGAGCGGGGAGGCCCGGAGGGACCCGGGGAGCCCAACGCCGGCGCCAGCAAACGGTCAAAGCTGCTGCTCTTACAGCGCATCAATGGTTGTGGCGGTGGTGGTGGCACTGACGCTGACGCTGGCGGTGTGAATGGTGGTGGTGGTGGTGCTGGTGGTGCTGGAGTTAATGGTTTCGGTTGTAGTGCTACAAGAGGTGATGGTGGCGCTGGCGCCGGTAACGACGGAGGCGATGGTGTTGGTGGTAGTAGCGGTGGTGGAAGTGGCGGTGATCGTGTCGGTGTGAGCCGCAAGCCGGTGGTGCGGCGGTCTGCCGAGGTTGACCCATCCGTGCGGCCCCGCGTATCCTCCAGCACCCTCGCTCGCCTCGCCGCCTTCTCCAGCGGCTCCCGGTAGCGCAGGGAGGCCACCACCGCCAGCATCACCACCACCACCACCAGCGTCGCCACCACCACCACCAGCGTCGTCACCATCACCGCCACGACCAACGCCTTCATCAAAACCACCGCTGCCACCACTGTCATCATCATCATCATATACACTCGCTATTGGAGTTCGCCAAACATCTCCATATGGGACCACAGGGCCTGGGCAATTGTTGCCACTGGATCTGGCTCATCTGTGGTTTCCCTCTCTCACTCACGGAGGGGGTAAAACGACAAACTGCGCGCGTTGCAACTTCTACGTCATGATCACCGCCACCGCCAGAGTCCACCAGCACCGCACCGCGGCCTCCACAGGGCCCTCTCCGCCAGAGGGAGACGACGGCGCTGGCCGCTTGGCCTCCGCTGGAGGAGGGCCAAGCGGCCGCCGCTCGGCGCGCGCGAGCGTGACGGAAACCTGGGAGCCGTCGGACTCCCGTCTCTCGGCTCGGCGAGCGTTGTTTGGATGATGTGCTTGGATACATTTCGGTATTTTCTTTCTCCCGGTTGGGCTACGGGCCCGGTGCGTCCGCCCCGGCGCTTGCGCGTAGGGACCGCGTGCTGCAGAACTCGCACGGAACGGGACGTCGCAGATGCACGTTTTGTGCACAAACTCGCTTTTGGGCGCCGCACTTGCGAGATGCTCGCTACCTCGCCTGGCACAGATGGGGGCGTGGTTTTCAGTCCCGACCCTGGTGCCTGCATATTTTGGGAATTTTTTTTGCCGGGCCCTCCCGATTTTTTTCCGTCCACATTTTTGAATCGTCAACACGCGTTCAGAGTATTTGGCCGCTATTAATTTGCACGCGATAAGCCGCTTCGGTTGAGCTCTCGTTGGCGATAGCCAGGTCGCTTCTGAAGAAAGAGCTGTAGAGCTCACCTCTACAGCTCTGACGGTCCAAGCCGACGTTGCCCAGCCGTGACGCGATTGCGTTTTTTGGATAACGACGCTTTGAGAGTAAGGGGATAGTTGTGTTGTCATGCGGCCTTTTGTGTTGCTTTACGTTCAATTGGCAGTCCTTCCTCTGTAAAGCAATCACATTTATATATTTTATATCTACAATCATCTGCTGCTGCTGCTGGGTTAGCGGCCGTGCACAATGTCGTTTCTTTGAAGGCCGCTGTGTTATTGGCGGGCGTGTCTTGGTTTTTGTGTTTAATATATTTTGCCTGTTTTGCTTTGAGATTTACTTACAGTATAAAATATGTAACAATTATAATTCACGGGCCTTTGTAAATCCACCGCAGGATGAACACCACACCCGCCCTAACCCCCTCCACGCCTGATCTGTAAAGGAGTTTTGTTTGACCATACTTTGCCATGCTGGTCACAACGGGCTGGCGAAAGGGATCAGGAGGCGAGGCTTGGACATCGCTCGCCACCGATGTTGGGGATCGAACTCGGGTCCATAGCGCAGTGAGCTAACCACTGCGCCGCCACTTCCCCCGCCCCCCACCCCCACTCGTGCTTGCACTCAGCGGTCCATCTCCGATTCATTTCCATCGTAGCGAGTCGAGTTGAGGCGTTTATTAAAGAGCTGGGCTGTAATCCTATTGCTTAAATACTTGATTACCCTCGAGGTGACCGATTCAGCCGATAACAGATGAATTAATCCATCACTCTTCAGATTACCGCGTCAATTGGTCAATCTAATCGGATAAGACGGATATAGTTGGGGGGGGGGGAGCCTCACCTCTCTCTGCACGTGTGCCGCCGGACGGGAGGTGAACGATTGGGCTTGGTGACATCGTTGGCATCATCATCGCACGCGTCGCCGCGCTGGGCGTGGGTGGCACGGGGGGGGGCGGGTTGCGGGGGAGCTGCCACCGCTTTCATTTTTAAAGGGGGCACCGGGTACTCGACCAGACGACCCAAGTCGTCCGTTTGAATGTTTTGGGTTCGATTAATCGAGCTGATTGGAATGGATCGATTTTGCATGACTGGTCGTCCCAGCCGTGGCTCGTTCGGACCGCAGGGAACCGGGGAGGCCCTTGGCGTGGTCGTGATGATGATGACGACTGTGATGATGATGACGACTGTGATGATGATGACGACTGTGATGATGATGACGACTGTGATGATGATGACGACTGTGATGATGACTGTGATGATGACGACTGTGATGATGATGACTGTGATGATGACGACTGTGATGATGACGACTGTGATGATGATGACGACTGTGATGATGATGACTGTGGTGATGACGACTGTGATGATGATGATGATGATGATGACTGTGATGATGACGACTGTGGTGATGACTGTGATGATGATGACTGTGATGATGATTGTGATGATGACGACTGTGATGATGATGACGACTGTGATGATGACTGTGATGATGACTGTGATGATGACGACTGTGATGATGATGACTGTGATGATGACGACTGTGATGATGACGACTGTGATGATGACGACTGTGATGATGATGACGACTGTGATGATGATGACGACTGTGGTGATGACGACTGTGATGATGATGACTGTGGTGATGACGACTGTGATGATGATGACGACTGTGATGATGATGACTGTGATGATGACGACTGTGATGATGATGACGACTGTGATGATGATGACGACTGTGGTGATGACGACTGTGGTGATGACGACTGTGATGATGATGATGACTGTGATGATGACGACTGTGATGATGATGACGACTGTGGTGATGACGACTGTGATGATGATGATGACTGTGATGATGACGACTGTGGTGATGACGACTGTGATGATGACTGTGATGATGATTGTGATGATGATGATGACTGTGATGATGACGACTGTGATGATGACGACTGTGATGATGATGACTGTGGTGATGACGGCGATGGTGATGATGACGACGGTGATGATGATGACTGTGATGATGATGACTGTGATGATGATGATGATGACTGTGATGATGATGATGACTGTGATGATGATGACGGTGGTGATGACGACGACGGTGATGACGACGGCGACTGTGACCCGACACGTTTTGCCGCTCGGCCCAACTCACCCAACAGATGTTCGCCGTGACTGCCACACACGTGGTTTTGTACAAGTGTGGTGAGTCGCAGACGTGCTGTTGGAGGTAACACCTCAATTTACACCAACACACCACGGAGTAACTGCCCCTTAACATAATAACAACCGATGGTGGTGACCACCAAGCTAACTACATTAGTTACTACACTAGTTACTACACTACACTAGTTACTACACTACACTAGTTACTATACTAGTTACTACACTACACTAGTTACTACACTAGTTACTACACTAGTCACAACGTGACTGGTGTTGTTAGACAGGTGGTGACCACCAAGCTAACTACACTAGTTACTACACTAGTTACTACGCTATTTACTACACTACACTAGTTACTACACTACACTAGTTACTACACTACACCAGTTACTACACTATTTACTACACTACACTAGTTACTATACTAGTTACTACACTACACTAGTTACTACACTATTTACTACACTACACTAGTTACTACACTACACTAGTTACTACACTACACCAGTTACTACACTAGTTACTACACTACACTAGTTACTACACTAGTTACTACACTACACTAGTTACTACACTATTTACTACACTACACTAGTTACTATACTAGTTACTACACTAGTTACTACACTATTTACTACACTACACTAGTTACTACACTACACTAGTTACTACACTATTTACTACACTACACTAGTTACTACACTACACTAGTTACTATACTAGTTACTACACTACACTAGTTACTACACTACACTAGTTACTACACTAGTTACTACACTACACTAGTTACTACACTATTTACTACACTACACTAGTTACTATACTAGTTACTACACTACACTAGTTACTACACTATTTACTACACTACACTAGTTACTACACTACACTAGTTACTACACTACACCAGTTACTACACTAGTTACTACACTACACTAGTTACTACACTAGTTACTACACTACACTAGTTACTACACTATTTACTACACTACACTAGTTACTATACTAGTTACTACACTAGTTACTACACTATTTACTACACTACACTAGTTACTACACTATTTACTACACTACACTAGTTACTACACTACACTAGTTACTATACTAGTTACTACACTATTTACTACACTACACTAGTTACTACACTACACTAGTTACTACACTATTTACTACACTACACTAGTTACTACACTACACTAGTTACTATACTAGTTACTACACTACACTAGTTACTACAATAGTTACTACACCAGTTACTACACTAGTTACTACACTACACTAGTTACTACACTAGTTACTACACTATTTACTACACTACACTAGTTACTACACTACACCAGTTACTACACTAGTTACTACACTAGTTACTACACTACACTAGTTACTACACTATTTACTACACTACACTAGTTACTACACTACACCAGTTACTACACTAGTTACTACACTACACTAGTTACTATACTAGTTACTACACTACACTAGTTACTACGCTACACTACACTAGTTACTACACTACACCAGTTACTACACTAGTTACTACACTACACTAGTTACTATACTAGTTACTACACTACACTAGTTACTACACTAGTTACTATACTAGTTACTACACTACACTAGTTACTACACTAGTTACTACACTAGTTACTACACTACACTAGTTACTACACTAGTTACTATACTAGTTACTACACTACACTAGTTACTACACTAGTTACTACACTAGTTACTACACTACACTAGTTACTACACTATTTACTACACTACACTAGTTACTATACTAGTTACTACACTACACTAGTTACTACACTATTTACTACACTACACTAGTTACTACACTACACTAGTTACTACACTACACCAGTTACTACACTACACTAGTTACTACACTAGTTACTACGCTACACTAGTTACTACACTACACTAGTTACTATACTAGTTACTACACTAGTTACTACACTATTTACTACACTACACTAGTTACTACACTACACTAGTTACTACACTATTTACTACACTACACTAGTTACTACACTACACTAGTTACTATACTAGTTACTACACTATTTACTACACTACACTAGTTACTACACTACACTAGTTACTACACTATTTACTACACTACACTAGTTACTACACTACACTAGTTACTATACTAGTTACTACACTACACTAGTTACTACAATAGTTACTACACCAGTTACTACACTAGTTACTACACTACACTACACTAGTTACTACACTAGTTACTACACTATTTACTACACTACACTAGTTACTACACTACACCAGTTACTACACTAGTTACTACACTAGTTACTACACTACACTAGTTACTACACTAGTTACTACACTATTTACTACACTACACTAGTTACTACACTACACCAGTTACTACACTAGTTACTACACTAGTTACTATACTAGTTACTACACTACACTAGTTACTACGCTACACTACACTAGTTACTACACTACACCAGTTACTACACTAGTTACTACACTACACTAGTTACTATACTAGTTACTACACTACACTAGTTACTACACTAGTTACTATACTAGTTACTACACTACACTAGTTACTACACTAGTTACTACACTACACTAGTTACTACACTAGTTACTATACTAGTTACTACACTACACTAGTTACTACAATAGTTACTATACTAGTTACTACACTACACTAGTTACTACACTAGTTACTACACTAGTTACTACACTAGTTACTATAGTTACTACACTACAGTAGTTACTACACTAGTTACTATACTAGTTACTACACTACACAAGTTACTACACTAGTTACTACACTACACTAGTTACTACACTAGTTACTATACTAGTTACTACACTACACTAGTTACTACACTAGTTACTATACTACACTAGTTACTACACTAGTTACTACACTAGTTACTATACTAGTTACTACACTAGTTACTACACTAGTTACTACACTACACTAGTTACTACACTAGTTACTATAGTTACTACACTAGTTACTACACTAGTTACTATACTAGTTACTATAGTTACTACACTACACTAGTTACTACACTAGTTACTACACTAGTTACTACACTAGTTACTACACTACACCAGTTACTACACTACACTAGTTACTACACTAGTTACTATACTAGTTACTACACTACACTAGTTACTACACTAGTTACTACACTACACTAGTTACTACACTACACTAGTTACTACACTAGTTACTACACTACACTAGTTACTACACTAGTTACTATATTAGTTACTACACTAGTTACTACACTACACTAGTTACTACACTAGTTACTACACTACACTAGTTACTACAATAGTTACTACACTAGTTACTACACTAGTTACTACACTACACTAGTTACTACACTAGTTACTATACTAGTTACTACACTAGTTACTACACTACACTAGTTACTACACTAGTTACTATACTAGTTACTACACTACACTAGTTACTACACTAGTTACTATACTACACTAGTTACTACACTAGTTACTACACTAGTTACTATACTAGTTACTACACTAGTTACTACACTAGTTACTACACTACACTAGTTACTACACTAGTTACTATAGTTACTACACTAGTTACTACACTAGTTACTATACTAGTTACTATAGTTACTACACTACACTAGTTACTACACTAATTACTACACTAGTTACTACACTACACCAGTTACTACACTACACTAGTTACTACACTAGTTACTATACTAGTTACTACACTACACTAGTTACTACACTAGTTACTACACTACACTAGTTACTACACTACACTAGTTACTACACTAGTTACTACACTACACTAGTTACTACACTAGTTACTATATTAGTTACTACACTAGTTACTACACTACACTAGTTACTACACTAGTTACTACACTACACTAGTTACTACAATAGTTACTACACTAGTTACTACACTAGTTACTACACTACACTAGTTACTACACTAGTTACTATACTAGTTACTACACTAGTTACTACACTACACTAGTTACTACACTAGTTACTATACTAGTTACTACACTAGTTACTACACTACACTAGTTACTACACTAGTTACTACACTACACTAGTTACTACAATAGTTACTACACTAGTTACTACACTACACTAGTTACTACACTAGTTACTACACGAGTTACTACACTAGTTACTACACTAGTCACAACGTGACTGGTGTAGTTAGACAGGTGGTGACCACCAAGCTAATCACACTAGTTACTACACTAGTTACTACACTAGTTACTACACTAGTTACTACACTAGTTACTACACTACACTAGTAACTACACTTAACTAGCTAAACGGACCGGACCACAGCTCTGCTGCAGGTCCTCGTGTTGGAGGCCTCTGTAGGCCGTAGACGAAGGCTGCTTCAGGATGCACAACAACGCCGATCCCTCTGGGAGATCCCTCTGGGGGATCCCTCTGGGGGATCCCTCTGGGGGATCCCTCTGGGGGAGCCCTCTGGGGGATCCCTCTGGGGGATCCCTCTGGGGGAGCCCTCTGGGGGAGCCCTCTGGGGGATCCCTCTGGGGGAGCCCTCTGGGGGAGCCCTCTGGGGGATCCCTCTGGGGGATCCCTCTGGGGGATCCCTCTGGGGGAGCCCTCTGGGGGATCCCTCTGGGGGATCCCTCTGGGGGATCCCTCTGGGC